TATACCTAGCTATAAATAGTCATTTAAGCTCATTGTAAGTGAACCATGTTCTTTATGAGTGAATAAACAATCATTAAACCTAAACTTATTTAGATTTTTTCATTAATTGATTGATTTGAGACACTCATTAATTGATTTTATGACTAACGTAATTTAAGTATTTCTCCAGCATATTTATAAGAAATAAGTACGTTGTTTGACGCTAAAAAAACGTGACGTCACAATATACAGTCTCGTACAAAATTCATAGAAAACTGTCGTTTTTGACAGTTCGAAAAAAAGTATTGAATTTGACTAGTTGGCAAGTACCCCAATACGGTAGTTGACAGTTATTCAAATTCAATACTTTTATTGAAATGTCAAAAACGATACTTTTCTATGAATTTTGTATTGGATCGCAACATGTGACGTCATCATATTTCTGCGTCAAATAGCATCCTTATTTCCTTAAAAATAGCGAGAAAAAATAGGTAAATTGTCAATTCAATAGATGAGACTATGATTATTTTTTTTAATTATTTATTGCATTGAAAAGTTGAAACAATTAATTTAAACTTAGAAAACTACTTGATTCACTCAATTATAAGAAAGTAGAATAAAAACCATATTCATAAAATCCCTTTCTATCTACAGGTCTAACATTAAAGCTAGCAGAACTAGCTAAACAAGAGGACAGGCTCGCCTGTCACCTTTTCGACTGCGCCGGCGAAGCACTAGCTTGTCACGTGCGCTCGCTCGCAGCAAAAGCAAGAACAAGAAAACTACGCGTTGTATGCGTTGGTTCTGTATGGAAAAGCTGGGATTTACTCAAGACTAGTTTTTTGAAAAAGCTGAGGGATAGCGATGTAAGTGTAGTACGAAATTAATATTTTATTTCTTTACTAGCTTCTGCCCTCGACTACGTACTCGCAACTCTGTTGTTCTTTCACGCTAAACGGCTGAACGGATTTTTAAGAAATTCGGTATAAAGGTAGTTTGAGTACTGGAAAAGCAAGGCTTTACCGCGGCAGACATTCTCATTCCCACGGAAAAATCTAAAAAGCGCTATATAACCGAATTCCACGCGAGCGAACAGCTATTTGTTTGTTTGCCTGTCTTAGACGGCTAAACGGAGGCACTTAACGTGATTTTTTAATTGAAGGTAGTTAAAGGGATGGATAGTCACATAGGCCTCTTTTTATCTTTCTGTGACGCGAGCGAAGCCGCGGGTAAAAGCTAGTCAACTATAAAAGGAGTTTCTTTTTACATTAACTCGTCGAGTATCGTATTTATAGACACAATTAAAGAACAATAGGTTGCGATCACCGGTGACCGCTTGGTGTTTGACAGTTTAATTATATTTAATGAAAATCGTTGTTAAACAAAATCCTTCTCTTTACAGGTTACCACGACATTAGAATTCGTGAGACTTCGAGTTTCAAGCGCTATGGGAGCAGCATGGTTGGCAGCCAAGCACGTAAACTACGAACTACCTAGAGACGACAAAGCTTTCTGCTCAGTCTTCTACACTTACTACCGTGACAGTAATCGTAACGAATTCGAGGATCAAGTAAGAGGTTATAATGAAAACCGGAATATAGACGAACCTTCTAATGAAGATTTTACAGACTACGATCTTCTAAACGATTTTATAGAAGGTAAAGATAAAAACATTGAGCTTGTAGACGGTGTTCTTGTACGCCGTGATGTTGTAAATGGTCATGCTGTAAACGGTCACTCTGTAAACGGGCATGCTGTAAACGGTCATTCTGTAAATGGTCATGCCGTAAACGGTCATTCTGTAAACGGTCATGCTGTAAACGGTGATGCTGTGAATGGATCATCGACCTTCAATGAATTGAGAGATTTTTCGGTAATGAATATAAACTGAATTTTCCTTAATATTGGGAATTAGAGCTAGTGGTTATTATCCCCTAAGTAAATAGACTATATGGTTAATTATTTGTGAATGTTACCATTTAGCAGGTTTTGACTTGATTTCCAATTCACTAGGGTCGTTCTTTGAAATTCTCAATAATCAGTGTTCTATTAGTCCTTTTCTGCTTGCGCCTTATCAAAGGCATAATATACGTTTAAGTTTCTTAAAATAATTGAATTCTATGCGAAACAAACATTATTGTGACTCAGTGGACCAAAGAGAAGCTTGACATTTGATTATAAACTCAATTACATCACAAGTTTAAAGTTCAAAACAGTTCAGGTATAGACATTTTAAAATGTAGGTAATTTATATTCCTGCGATTTTGACTTCTACAACCTTCAGAGTAAAGTTCATTATTGATTTTACGCTGCATTTTACCAAGCTGTTATTTTAAGTCGCACGCAATTTTCACAAAAGTTATGTTGTAGGTAGTGCCAAATTTGAAAGAACAATTTAGAAAGATTGACATGTCAACGATTGACATTTTTGTGAATATTGCGCCGTTTACTGTATAATTTTTAATTAAGTAACAATGAATTTAATTATACCAAATGGATTGTTTGCAAAAGATGGTAAAAGTATGTGTGGTACAGTTTTGTACAGTAAAATTGCGTGTGTTACTGTAAAAGTTCGTTATTGGTAATACTTTGGTCTTACCTGCTGGTAAGCAGACGGTCTTACTAAATGCAATAAGGACTACTGCTTACCAATTCATATTCGTACGGTAGTAGAAACTGAGGGTTCAGTTTCTACTTTTTATTTTACGTTTAAAGTAGTTCAAACGGGACGGCATTCGACGCTCCGATTGGCCGGCTCTAATGTATCAACCAATCAGACTGCCGAACGCGGTATCGTTTTGAATTAATTTACATGTAAAACAACTAAGACTTTTGAGGGTTGGTGTCCAATAGAGAAATTAGCTATGTCAAATCATTGGACATTACATTTTGACAGCTATAGTGATTGGGCAAACAGATTTCAAGCTACATACCGCCATCTGTTGTTCACTTTTTATTACAAACTTTAAAATGTACAGTATTTCATATCGAAGGCCGAGTGGTCGCAATTGCGACTGCCGGGTAAGGGGTCTCGGGTTCGATTCCCGGGTCGGGCAAAGTATTACTGGGTTTTAAAAAAATTCTCAGTAGTAGCACGGAGTCTGGAACTGTGCCCGGTATATGGCAATAGGCTCACCCCCTATTACATGGGACTCATAACATAAATAGTGAAAAGTGGGTGTTACATTGTACAGTGGTATAATGTGCACCTCTGCCTACCCCTTCGAGGATAAAAGGCGTGATGTTATGTATGTGTCATATCGAACTTTACAGTAACACGTAGAAGTAATAGTAAAAGTGTTAAGCTTTAAGATACGTAAGATCACAAATGCATGTCGCTGTAAAAATAACTATTATAATAAGAATAATGACTTTATTAGTAGAAGAATTTGTTTATAGTACCTATGCCAATTGGCCCTATTCAAGAATAAAATATACAAAGAATTATTTGGTACAGTATTTTAACAATGAGAAATAATTTGACCTTGAAATGTACAGTCAGAGAAAAATGTATTTATTACCGGTTGGCGCTAGTTTCGAAAATATAAATGACACCTCCAATGACCTAAAACCTCTTATTAGCAGGCCGATTAAAATTAGGGTCAAAAGTATATATTGACTTTTTACATTGACTTTTGTCGCTGCCTGTACACATAAATACTTCCTAAACCGCCTATTCTCATAATTTATAATCTGTCGAAAAGACGAAGTTAATCGTCTAAATTATTGATATAAACACTATGTATAAAGAAATCTTAGGTATATAATATAAGTTTATATCTACAAAATTTCTTTGCGTTGACGAAATTATTATGATGAAACTTTAAATAATTTATATAACCTAGAAATAAACAGAGATTGCAGAACGATCTGACAGTTGCCACAGAGTATATTGATCTGATTGACTTTTAAAATGGCGGGAAATATTGTTTATGGCTCTGATGCATAATTATTTCGTGTATTTTAGATTAAAAAGCTGTATTTATGATTTCACATGCTTTAATCTAGATGAGCGGAGCCATATAACGAAGACTAGCAGCTGTTTAAAAAAGTCGAGCCGATAGCTTAGCTCATACACGGATAATTTTGTATAAGACGCCATCAACCTTAATATTAAGTAGATTTTAATTTCATGTAAATAGCTATAGTTCCTATTTTTACGTAGACGTAAGTATTTTTTGTTTAACGTAAAATTAATCGATAAGTTATTGTAATATAAATAATGTAATATTAAATGTATGATGTGAATATATATTTCATTTTTTATCTATTTTTGCATTTTCATTTACCTATCTATCGTTAAGTTTGAGCCATTAAAAGAAAGCTGACCTTAAAAACGAACAAATAGTAAATAAAAGATAACACTAAATTATGATAATTTTTCGATAGTGTCGAAAATAGCTAATTATCTACTAGCAAAACAATTACAAGAGTCACCAACGTTTTTTATTTAGTGAATAAATTTACACTATTACCTTTACTTTCATTATTTAAATATATCAATAAAATAAAACAAAGAAGTTAAACTACATAGATTACTCAATTAATTTCTGCATTCAGCCAAGCCTTGATCAAACGTAAGGTCATAGTTGTAGACCAGTAAACAAACTAGTAGGACTACTTTTATCATACGCCTAGTATTAGCATTGTATATAGAAAATGCTAATACTTGTTAACATCTACAAGATTTTCAAAACTTCCAGGACGTTTTGAATAGTTCTCGTTGGCACTGACAATTAGTGGCGTTTCATCGAAATGTGTTTGAGATTTAACAAAAGGGCCCAATTCATCCCAAGGTCATTTTCACTCCATCCCTCAAAGAAAAGGTTTAAATTGAATGATATGTGAATTTATCGTTCATTTTTTATCTGTGTTACGACTTCACCATATAACCGTTATAACGAGTTACATAACCGTTTTTAGATGCTATTGCACGTCTCTTTGGCACTAAAATATGACGTTTAAAAATTCTTCATTCATCAGTCACTGTGACTGTGGTATTGACAGTTTCACTATCAACAATGAATATTTCGAGATTTACTCGTTTAATACAAATAAAACCTGTTAAAAACATTAGTTATAGATGTTCAAGCCGTGCATTAGAATATTTTAATAGCAATAACAATAGGAATGGTGCTAAGAGCAGTTATTACAGTGGAATTTTGGCCGTCGCGGCCGGGGTGATAGGTTATATCAGTTTAAAGAATAAATTACTAGCTGCGACTGTGATAAACAATGATTTAAAGGGTAGAAGAGAGAAGTTTAACTTTATAGCTGATGTGGTGGCTGTGTCAGCGCCGTCAGTCGTGTATATAGAGATAAAAGATGGTAGAAGATTGGATCTGTTTTCCGGTCAGCCTGTGACATTATCCAATGGTTCTGGGTTCATTGTGAAGGAAGACGGCCTTATATTAACGAATGCTCACGTTGTAGTAAACAAGCCTAATGCTATAGTTAACGTGCGGTTATTTGTAAGTATTGTTTTAATTCATAAGATCTCTTTTATATCTAAAACTGCCTGATACAAATAGTACTGTCTTTTATAAATAAAATTTACATAATTCTTGTTATTACATTGTAGTACTTATTATTGCATCATCAAATTCAAAACTTGCACTGTTTAAAACCAGTACAAGACAAAATTCAGTACAACTTTAATTATTTTAGCGAATTTCTTATTGAATTCTTATTGTATGTTACTCTAAAATTGAAAAGGATTCAGAATTATGTCTGGTTTATTGTCAAAGTTTGTTAAAGTACTAATTTGTGTAACAATTTTTTTTATGGGTCTTTATATTCCCTTTTACGGGACCATACGGTCCTAGTAATTTAGGAGGCGTATGAGAGACTGAAGTCTACTGTGCTTTAGACAAGTTTAATTGAAATGTAATTTGTTATTGTGATTTTAAGTTATAGAGTAAAATAAAAAGCCTAAATTCACTTTTTTATGCTCAAAACAAATAGTCTCTTCTCTCACCTGACATGCAAAAGATTGACTATTCCGAATTTACAATATTAGATCAAGTTTTATAGCTGAACATTGCTCAGTATGAGTAATAGTTTGACTTAAACAATTACCTACTGGGTTTCTTTCTTTTATCACTAGTATGGCATATATAGATGGGTGATGTCTCTGACAAATACGATAAATATATTCATATATTTTTACTTGAGTATTTATATCCAAAAAGTGTATAAGTACCTAACAGTTATCCAACCTCTAATGGCAATACAGCTATAGTGTAAATTCCACGGACTAGCTTGAAACTCTTGTACATAATCGTTACTCTACAATTTTTCTTCATCCTTATAGGTAACATTTTCCTATTCATTTTCAGGATGGCTCCATACACACAGGTTTTGTAGAGGATGTAGACTTGAAGTCAGATCTCGCAACTCTTCGGATACCGGTGAAAGGCTTACCTGTAATGAAATTAGGGTCATCAGCAGACATCCAGCCTGGAGAGTGGGTTTGTAATACAAAGTTAATTTCTATTAATTACTAGCTACTTCCGCGCGGTTTCACACGCTCTGCTCAGCTCCTATTGGTCGTAGCTTGATGTTTTATAGCCTATAGCCATCTTCGATAAATGCGCTATCCAACACAAAAAGAATTATTCAAATCAGACTTATAGTTACGGAGATTAACGCGTTCAAACAAACAAAAAACAAACTCTTCTGCTTTATGTAATAGTATAAAATAATAAGTTTTTTAGTTAGTTTTCTACGATAAATGTATTATTAAATAGTTACAACTATGCTTCATGGAAATTGTAATGGAATTTGTGCTATCACTACTAAGGAATGTGAAACAAATAGATTCTACAAATCATTAGTAGTTTAGCTGCATTATTAATAGTAATACATAATATATTATGCAGGCTGTAAATGGAATGCTCCTGGAACGCTGACAAAAAGAATTGGGTTTACAACTTTAATTGTTTTTGTTTTGTTTATGTTACACTAGCCTTGAGCAGCCAATTACAACTATTATTAACCAAAAGTTAAAGAATCTAATTACTTATTCTTATAAAAATGAATCTTGTTTTTTACCATTAGCAGTGTTGTTTGGGAGCATTCCGTTGACACCCTGTAACTAAATGTAAACAATGAACTAAATAATAACTATGAAATTATGTATATTGAATAAGAATTACATTGTTTACAACAACTGGTTTATTCTTGCAGGTAGTGGCGATGGGCAGTCCTTTAGCTCTTAGTAACACAGTCACCGCTGGTGTAGTCAGTTCTACTCAAAGAGCTAGTGAAGAACTAGGATTAAGAGGTACACTTCTATACAAATTTTCATGTCTACTTTTTTACGGTGTTACTCATTTACTGCTAATTTGTTATTTCATCATCAACAACCTATAAATGCCCATCGCTGAGTATAGCCTCTTCTCACAAAGAGAAGGTTTAAGCACTAATCACTATGCTTGCTCAATGCGGGTTGGTAAATTAGTTAGTTCATTAGTTTCTCTACTTAAATAAAAAAAAGTGTATATTATGGTAAAATATACTCGCTGTTTCTTATAGACAGCTTGATGCTGATTGCTACTCATATAAAAAACTGCAGTTTTCCTGCTACTCAACATATTCTACTATTGGAATCAGCTTAATAAAAAACTCATATACCACCATAACCAATATTAAATTAAACTTAAAAGGTCTACCATATTGAAACTAAACAAATTTTAAAACAAAATACACAAACTATGTTTAAAAACACCAACTACAACCCTCTCTTATTTTGAAATTGGTTGATATAGTGAAACCTTCTCTGAAGTGTAACAAATATTTTTCTGAAAACTGCATCTAGTCTGTGAAAACTAAATACACTTTTTAAAATTCCAGGCAAAGACATGGTATACATACAGACAGATGCCCCAATCACGTTCGGCAACAGTGGAGGTCCGTTAGTTAACTTGGATGGAGAGGCGATAGGTATAAACAGTATGAAAGTCACATCGGGCATATCCTTCGCTATACCCATAGACTATGTCAAGGAGTTCTTAGCTAAGAGTAAGTTTGTCTTTGAATTTGTTTTTTTTTATTGTTGTTCTGTGCATTGTGGTGGATTATTGGTGAATTTTTTTTAATACTTGTGAATGTTTTTTTATATTATTTTTTTCTTACAATATTACCTATGATTTGTTTTTGCTAAACTCAGCATCGATTAAACACCAATGCATTAATTATTGTAAAATAGATAGCGATTTTGGAGCGCTTATATTTTTTATTTATCTACTTTTTGTTAGTCACCTTTTTTGCTGTTGCTTTGTATAAAACTTTGTATAAAATGTTAATATTTAACAGATTTTTCTATGCAACTGTTTTGTTTTTATCAAAGTCAAAGTCAAAACATTTATTTCAATTAATCCTTAATTAGGCACTTGAAACGTCAAAATATTCAATTGTCCGTCTATCTGTGTGTCAGTAAAGGTAGGCATTAATATTAACTGATTTGATTGTTTATGTATTCTATCCTCTTGTCTGTTGAAAGTTGCGGGTATAATGTGTTTTATACCGGTAGCCGATGTTTCAACAGATAAAAGGCTATTTTGTTTTGTAAAAAGTAAGCTTCTGCATGCTCTTTTATAATATTTCTTTTTATGTAATCAATTATAAATATTTATCAAAATTAGCAGTTGATACTTTTATCTAAATGAAGTTTAGAGATTACCAATCTATTTGACGTTCTGATAATTCACAAAGTGTTTACGTGCTTCCATAATACTTATTTTGTAAAAATAGGAACATATTTTGTTATTTATTAACATTTTGTAACTGAAGAAAAATGCACCTTATTGTAAAACACTTAACATACATTTATTCTAGTTCCTTTAGAGTTCATTTTACTAAACATTGTTTTATCAGTGTGTTTTCATAACTAATCAAAATTCGTTAATTTGCAGTAATTGTTATAAGTATTAGATACAGCATGTTTCTTTTTAAACTATCAACTACTAGTTTTTTTTCTATATATCATCAACAGGCTGATGTTTTTTTAAGTTCTATAATTATGATATATCTACAGGCTGATGTTTTTTACAGTATATTTTTAAATGTACTTCCGAACTTTTTATACTCAATAGCTAATGTAAATTGTTAATTTAGAACGCTCCACAGGGACAACGAAGTCGCCACAAGTGTCGAGACGGTACCTTGGCATCACTATGCTGTCGTTAACGCCCAATATACTCATGGAACTAAGAATGAGGAATCCAGAGGTAAGAATCTGATAATCTGAAGTTTTATGGTAGTTTGAAAACAACGGTAGTGTCATAATGCTAAGGATTGTTTTTAATTGTTCTTCCAGATGCCGACTGACATTGAACATGGAATCCTCGTGTGGAAAGTTATAATTGGATCACCTGCTTACAAGTAAGTAGTATTTTATAATTATTATTTTATCTCAGGGTATCAATAGAAAATATTTAAGACTGAGATAAGTTTAAATATCACTATTAAGTAGATCGATACGGAATTCTATATCAAATACTTGTATATTTATTCTAAATACAGTACAATTATTTAGAAAACGCTCAACGTATCCTACTTCATTTTTCACCCGACTACGGCGAAGCCAACATAGTTCCTTCCTAACTAAACTGGGTATCATTAGAAGCATCTTATTAGTCCGCTGGTTTTGTGTGCCATTGCAGCGGTAAGTCCCCTCTTTGAGGAGTAGCTTGAGAGACACTACGGCGTCCTAAGCTACCGCCTGTCACAGGTGTTTACCAGACACGGGAGTTTTGGTAAGTTCCTAATTTGCATAGGTAACGCCCGGGTGTCACTATTACGTGGACCATTCGGAGGACACTATGAAGTGTATGGTGGCGGTGTGCCCTGCGTAGACTCTGGTTCAGGCCATGGTGCGGATGCGGTGCGGGGTGCGAGGGGCACTGGGATGCCGCCTTCTCCTTCTTCAAAGCAGTCATGATAGACAAGGAGGAGACGGGGCGCGTGAGGGCACGTTCCTTCTCACACCCCAGCAATCGCAGAAGACACTCCGGGCTGGACTTCTCCCACCTGGGAAGGTGGGAAAGAGTGTCAGACTCTTAATAACTAAAAACAACCCAACAAACAACTCCTGCCCTTCGAGTCGAAGCCCCGGAAACCCGTTAAGTCCTCCGCGGCGTTATCGTCTGATTCTGGTCGGCAGCTAGCTACCCATGCTCGCTGTCCACAGGCCCGAGCTTATGGTGGCCGGAGATCGTCCTGCGATGCCCGACGCCTGGAGTGTCCTTCGCAACGGCTGGGTTATGAGGACGCAGCGCTTCGCTGCCTCACGCGCCTCGCCTCGCCCTTAGCTAGCATGACTGCTTTTGAAAAGGAGGAAACGACATCCCAGTCCTCGCTCCGCATCGTGGCCCGGACTAGGGCCGGACGCGAGAGGACGCCGTCGCCGATCACATCCCTGAGGACACGGCGGTGCTCAGACCACGCAGGGCATTCCCCTACCGTGAGTTCCACCATATGCTCAGGGTGGTCTTCGCTTATGCTCAGGGTGGTCTTCGCAATGATGACACTCGGGCGTTTCCTCCCACCTTATCGGAACCAGGTACCTCCTGAGTACCTGCGACAGGCGGTAGGAGAGGACGGCGTAGCGTTTCTCAAGTCACTCCTCAAAGAGGGGACTTACCGCTGCAGCGAGCCCAGCCCTCGGTTGGCTACCATTCCGCCATTATGAGATCGCGCTGGAGCTCATCCCGCCGCGCACAAAGCTGACGCGGCAGCGGAATTTTGCACCGGTGACATGCCTCCGCGCGCCGGCAATATACGCGCGTGTGCCCCTTCACCTCCATATCCCACGACGGTAATCTGGCAAAGAGGTTCGCCGTCTCCCCGGATATCATGCGGTATCCGTGGATGATTCGAATCACCATGACCCTCTGAGAGATAAGCAGCGCCCGAGAGGCGCCATAGAGGGCCATGGGCCGCACGACCCCGCGTATAACCTCTGGAAGGAGGCGTTTGGACCACGTTACGACCACGGCTATGCTAAGCTAAGCTAGCAGCTAAGCTCTTAGGGGACTAAGAAAATTTACTTGTTTGATAGAGCGTGTTTTTGTCTAGTCGGGTTTTAGTTTTATAACTCATTTTTTATTATATTCTTAAATCAATAACGTTTTCTCATTTTCCAGTGGAGGCCTTCAACCAGGAGACATAGTGACCAGTATAAACGACAAGCCAGTGCGGACAGCTAGCGACATCTACCTGATTTTAGAGAACACTAGCGGAAGTTTGCGCATAGAAGTCGTTAGAGGGCGCCAGCGGGTGGCACTTACTGTCTCGCCCGAAACTCACTGATGAACAGAGTACGTGTCTACGCGGAACGTAGAAGTAAAAAAGAGATTTGTATTAATTTTTGTCGTCAGAAAAATAGAAGTCAAAATAAAATGAATGATAGTTCTAAAGGTCTTGTATGAGTAAATTGTGTGATTCAATTGTTTTATATATTTTTGTCAACCTTTTTAAAAGTGTTGTTCTCTCAACTCGTGTAAATAATTATTTTATATTCATATTGTGCCTCGATATGTCGTCGTAATTTTATTTTCCACAGGTATTTTACTTCATAAAATATAAAAAAACACTGTTTTTTTATAGCCATCATACCCTTGCCTTATTTATGATGTGAATATCAGGCATATATTTACATTAAATACTCTATTTGGATATAAATTATTTCGTAACTATATTTATTAGAGTAATAGAAATTGTTTATTGTTATATGTGGTTAATTTATTTAAACTTTTGAATTCACTAATTAATTAGCTGCAACAGTAATTTTATTCTTCATTTTTCTTGCGCTATGTTGCGTATTGTTCAACAGTTCAAAAACGCCATTTTCGTGATAGCAATGAAGGTTTTCGTTTTTGCCATATGGCGCTAGTGAAGCTTGAGGTGCTATTTGTCCAATCACCTTAGGTGTCACAAATATTCTATTGGCCAATAGACCATAAGTTATACTACCGAACGCCTCTTGTAGTGTGAAAACAATCATTTATACTTTTTGCAAAAACGTTTGTATAAATATCGACGACGATTAAGCTATAGAAACTTATTTATGTATTTAATTGAAGCTGAAATGGTGTTCATTTCATTCGAACGGATAAAAAGTTAATTTAAATGAAGTCAAACTTTTATTTATTTTTGAAACAACCTGTATATGTTTTTGTATAGATGTATGTAATATTTTATACATAGTTGTTGGTAAGAATGTTTGTATGTATTATAGAGAAAATATGGTGGATTAAGTTGTCGTTTCATTTATTTTTGTACCTTATATTTTACCTACCTAGGTTTTAACTCGACACGAGTGTTATATGAAACATTTTTACCTATGTTAATTTTCACACGTTTGTCTACTCCGTGACCTTTTTTTTTTTTTTATGGGGGGAAATCCTCATGGACTGCCTCCGCCTGGGGAAAGGCGGAGGGGTGTGCCGGACTCTTACCGGCTAAAACCACCCCAGTGTCTCCTCACACGTGCGTGCGGGGCCACGGGAGTCCAAATTCATCCGCAGCCCCGCATTACAGTGCCGGCCCGTATGTCAGGGCCCCGTCACCTGCACGGAGCAGTGCCCCACGTACATCGCCTCAAAGGCGTACGCCGACACCCGCGCGCGCCTTCGACTCGGGTCTTTGAAGTCGGGGGCGAGGACTTCCCCAAGTCCTTCGCCCCTGGACCCATTTATGGGGGCCGGAAGAGGGCGTTGTCGGCCCTTCTCCTACGCCCGGTGCGCCTTCTGCGGTTGGGAAAGGAAGTCAGTAAGATTTCCCTCTCCCGTTCCGCAGTTTCCTTCTGCGAAATCACATCCTCGCAGAAAGACACCACCGCGTCCCACGACTCTGCGCTGTCCAACCTATTTAAATTTTTCTTCGCTTTCGAGTTTTGATCTTATTGCATAAAATGAAAAATCACTTTAATATAAAAAACACAAGAATTAGGACTTTTGCCTTAAATAAAGAAAAGCGTAAAAAATCACATGGGCGCGACGCCATTTTGAAATACAGATGATAAATTCCCGCCATTTAATTCAAATGTCACGCGACCGAACAATACGTTTTTTTAAATACATAAGTAATTGAAAATGCTAATGTCACGTATGATTGACATTCCAATTATTAAAATAATTGATTCATCTGCGAGTTTCCATCAAAAATGATTGATTCAAGTCGCCTGTTTATAAAAAAGATAGAATAAAATTATTATGTTTTTAATTTATGCGATTTTTATCGTGGTGAGTACCCCTCTGTTAAATCATAATTGCAATTTTAGCTAAACATAAAAAATATCGAAAAAAAACTTGAATGTCACATTATAATTGATAATTTCCTTTTTGTAAATGCATAGATGATAAAATAAATATTTTTTTTTAGATTCCGTTCGTAACCTCTAACTCATACGATGACGAAATCAGCTATCGATCTAGTAAGTTAAAATTTTCTACTTTGATATTTTTTTAAACTTCCGAAGAATTAGTACCTACCAAGATTTAGTATACCTACATCAGCCTGTTTGGTTCCCGAATACGTGAAGGTGCATTCTTACCTTTATTTTAAATGCGAAGTGGTTTGTTTGTCTATCTTACACATCTCAACGGAATGATTTTGTAGAAAAAAAATGGCATCTAGATTTAGGAAACTGGAGAGTGTCAAGTTACTTTTTTTTCTGAAAGTTACCTACGCCATTGATTCTCAAAAACAGTGGAAAGACGGCAAAATGCCACAGGCCCCCGAATGGAAGGTTCTCTAGGAAGCACCCATTCAGAGATTTTAATATGAACTCTCTCTTTTGTATACTTAAACAAAATTAGGGAACTGGGGCCCATCCGATGTATTTGCCACGGGCCTCGAGTGGCATGGTTACGCCACTGGTGAGAATGTAGGGATCTCTCGTTACTCTTTAGCGGAATAACTTCGGAACAGAATGTTTGACAGATAGATAAGATGCAGTTTGGAATAACACAGTTTTTGTCCAAGAAACGAGGTTGAAACCGTAGAAATTGATATAGAACTTATATTTTTCTTTTTGTAAAAGGTGTTATGGAAGATAAGAGGCCCATACTCCGCATGCCTGTTATGTCAGAATCAGAAGAATATGAGGAAGGTTTGTTCTTACATTACATAAAAATAAATACACATGATTTCTAACTGAGTGTTAGGCAGAGGTCTACAATTTCAGATATAACCGATTTTATGCTATGTAGATGGCGCTAAAAGAGCTTTAGGTCTTGTACAAACAATTAGTCTCAATAATGGAATGTCCAACGATAGGACATAAGCGAATGGGGTTACGGATTTTTGTCACCAGATAGCGCAAATGTAGCTAGAGATTTTTGTCCAATCACTGCAGCTGTCATATATTGAACGCCCAACTATGTTACACTAGCTAATAGTCCAATTGTGAAATTGGACAAACAACGAGACATTCATATTCATACTGGTGTCATCTGGTAAATAAAATAGGTACGGTATTCCTCATTATCTGTGCCGGTCTGTGGACGGTGAGCAAGGGTAGCTTGATGCCCGACCAGACCCAGACTCGTATGGCGCGTCGTCACATTGATGATTACTGATGTCCGATACGGAGCCGCGGAAGGCCTAACGGCTTGCCGGGGCTCCGGCTCGAAGAGCAGGAGTAGGAACGGGGTGGTTTTTAGTCAGTAAGAGTCTGAGACTCTCGCCCTCAAAAAAAAGCCTCCCTCAAAAAAAGCCTCATTATCTTTAGGATAAAAGTCCTTAATTACGATTTGTTGATAGTCCTTATTCTTTATCACAAAAGTATAGCAGTTCTTGTTTCCAAATAGGTACAGATAGAAGAGAAGGGAAAAGTACAGAGTATACTGAAACCACAGAAAATGCGAGACCAGTGAGAGACCTGACTCTCTTGGTTCATTGGCTGATCGATAAATTTGGGTATGATGTCCCACAAGGCCGTAAAAATAATGGTAGGTACGTTTGTACATTGTTTTTATTATGCGATCATTATTATAATGTCTTCAGTTGAAATGAGAAGTTATAATATAAGTTAAATGTCGCGTGACGTCACTTCTATGTACATTTTGTACGTAGAAATGATGTTTTAGCCCCCACTCCTAAACTTTGATTCGTTTTATCTAAGTATTGTGTTATTATACGGCAAAATAAATAATACGAGTCTACTATATTTTCATTACCTAACTTACGGACTAATTAGATTATTAATTTTCATACCTCGTCATCATCCCAATTGCGTAATTAGTTGTTTTGTTAACCAATTTAACAAATTAGAGTAATCTTTTTAAATATTTTATTAAAACATTTGGTAGATCGTTCAAAACTAAGTAGAGGTGTGTAAAATTCAACATGACATAACATCCTAGGGGTACCAGAGCTATACATTACGGCAGTTAATGCTACTGTACAATGTAACACCGACTTTTCACTATTTATGTTATGAGCCCCATGTAATAGGGGGTGAGCCTATACTGGGCACAATTCCAGACTCCGTGCTATTACTGAGATTTTTTTAATAATTTAAAGTATTACCTACTCTGCCCTAACTGGGAATCGAACCCGAGACCCTTTGCCCGGCATTCACACTTGCGACCACTCTGCCAACGACGCTGTCAAATTCAAGTATAATAATTTTCATTGAATAGATGATTTTATGGAGCCTGGAATCAAAATACCGGTCCTGCATGCACAGTCAGATGAAAATGAAGAAACGACACCTAAACCTGCAGGTATGTCAATTCAATGGGACCTACCGTATTTTTGGTAGTGTGAATCTCTTGTTCTTCATCCAATAAAGAATTAGCTAATGCCACACCGTTCGACGTTTAATATTTGACAGCTGCTGTGATTGAATAAAAAGCTCCTTCTACAATTGCGCCTTTTGGTGATCAAAAAAACATAGGTATAAACGGTCGAAATGAGAACCTCCTCCTTTTTATGAAGTCGGTTAAAAAACGCTAGCTTGACTCATGAATATGAGCCTCTAACATGGCTTGAAAGTAGTCGAGTTCCTCGTCAAACGGTTACGCGATTACGCTAAAAACATAATAATTAATTAGTAGGTATTGTCGGAATACTGAAACGCTATTCAGTTTTAAGTCACGCTTAAGTACCTATAGTTCTGTCGCTACAAATTCTTTGTAAAATGACAGAGACGGCACGATGTTTGAGCACGATTTAAAATTGAGTAATGTTTCAGTATTCCGGCAAAAGTCACACGAATATAACTGATCATATTGTCAATTCGAAAGTAATGAGTCTGTTTGGGTTCTTACTCCTTATCTATGAGCCTCGATGTTGTTATTAGGCCCTAATGGCGCTGACCTATCTAGATGACCCTTCCTCATTTTATTAGTCGTTAAATATGTTTTGCGTGTCTATTACTGTAGGTAATAAAAATGTATTTTTCTTTCCATTTCAGAACTTGAAAAGGGAAATTTCACTTCTTTGATAACACGTAAGTTAAGTTTTGAATGAATAGTTTATGCTCTTTTAATGTTTAATGGAAATGATATACAAAGTTCGAAGATTTCACAAAGTTCGAATAACTATATAAAAAATGTTTTTTCAATAAGGAGTGTTACAATTAATATTTGTTAGTAATTAATTGTCTTCTGTACTCTTTTTTTATGCCTTTTTGTTTTTTCTTTTTATCTATATGTGGAGGCTTGTAATTAGCAATTTGTCAAAATTATACTCTTATAAAATCATTTTCTATAAGCCTTCTTAAAATAAATAAATAATAAATAAATTTTGGGAATCTCCTTACTAAGAGCGAGACTTGTTCAGGACGTATTCGTATTGTTTTTTTTTTTTTTTTTTATAATTGATGGGGCGACGTTTGACCACTATCTCACCTGTTGGTAAGCGATGATGCGGTCTACGTTGGAGCACGTCGTCCCATAAGCAACCTATTCACTCGGGCCTTGAAGACTCCCAGGTTATACCCTTCAGGAAATACAGACTCTGGCAAAGAATTCCACTCTTTAGCAGTACGCACAAGGAAGCTTGAAGCAAAGCGCTTCGTGCGTGTGGGCGGAACATCTACCATGAATCGGTGACGCTTCGCGGATTGTCTTGTGGTACGATGATGGAAAGGACTAGGGGGAATCAAGTTGTGCAATTCCCCCGCACACTCCCCGAAATGTATCCGGTAGAAAACCGAAAGGCTTGCAACCTTACGCCTGTGTTCGAGGCTTTGAAGCCGAGCCTTCACAAGCGCATCATCGTCGATGAGCCTCCTGGCACGCCTCTCAATGTGCTCTAACGCGTCCAGCTGATATTTAGCCGAGCCGTCCCAAAGATGAGAGCAGTACTCCATACAGGACCGAACCTGTGCTTGGTACAGGCTCAGCAATTATTGATGATGATAATGATGAATATAATTTTAAAGTCAAATAATTAGTACGAATTATTCCAATGAAGTGCACTTTTTAATTTAAAGATATACCTCTTTAAGAGGAATCAGTTTAACACTTATAACTGCTAAGATTAAAATGGTGAAAGTCAAGCCTACCCTAGCGTCAGGCATCGGTGACTGACGTCTCACGCTTAGGTCCTAAGGTTTCATTAAGCCTAAGGTTAGTTTCCATACTCAGAGACAATAGCTAGCCATACACGTATAGATGTGTCCGGCAGATCTGCCTGAACCTGATATGTGGCGGGTAAATATACTACCACGAACCACAAAACACGTGTTGCTCACAGTTACATAACCCCATCGAACAACCTTCTCAAGTTATCTGTGTGTCTATGCCGAAAAAAGGCATGGATACACACATACCCGTCAGATACCCGTTTTGGCAGATCTACCGGGCAGGTCCGTGTGTGTATGGTTAGCAATTTAAAGATTAGTTAAACTATTCCTTAGTGACGATTTTGTTTTGATTGCTAAAGACTGGGTAAGGTATTCATTAGATACATTACTCTGTACCTACAACAGCGGTAAGTTGATAAAAATAATGTTATTATTGTTTCAGTGGCAAAGTTGAAAAAGCAAAATAAGGAAAAGCGTAGGTTAAATATTGTTGTTTTATTTATTACTATTTATTTTAGGGACGATTTTTTTAACGCCAGATAAATTACTGAGGAATAACTTTGAGTACGGTAGATTACTATGTAGTTTTATTTTAATGTCCATCTGGTAGCTTATATAAAAACTTTAGACTCGTATTTTTTATTTTCTCATGGAAACGTATACTATCTACGATATATTGATTTGAAATATCGCATTACATCACTTTTGAGTACGATTTACTAAAAAATGACGTAGTTACCTCCCACTCCTAAACTTTGATTCGTTTTATCCAAGTATTGTTTCCTTATACGGACCACCACAGATGGGGCCCAACAGGGCCGATGCCGATTCGGAGTCGCGGAGAACCTAACGGGTAACCGGGGCTCCGGCTCGACGTGCAGGAGACGGAACGGGGTGGTTTTTAGTCAGTAAGAGTCTGAAACTCCCTCCCGCGTCACCCAGGCGGGAGCAGTCATTCGATGAATTTGCCCCCTTAAAAAAAATACGCGTGAAAAACTAACAAATGTCCGTTTTATTCGACAGTTAAAAATTAACTGATGATTGCAAAATCGGCCCTAAGTATCTATCTAATCAAAATTGATTTCCTGGGTTAAAACTGTTCTATAATTCTATATCTCTAACAATGTCTCAACTTGTTATTAAATTTCTAAGGTCATCTCGTTTCAAGTTCTCGTTCTTCTAATATTTTAAGACCGACATATCTTTTCTTTTCTAAGTAAAGTCAAAGTCAAAGCATTTATTTCAATTAAACCATAATTTGGTACTTTTGAAACGTCAACAAATACAAAATAAATAATAAGTAGTCTGTCAGTCAGTCCGTCAGTGAAGCTAGGTGCTGTGTAAGTATATGCGAATCCTTCTCGCCCTTAAGAAGTATCAACGTTTGGAGGCTAAAATATTTTTTTTTTGTTAATCCAGTTGAGCCCTTATGGGTGACAGACCTTAAAGATTTCATCAAGGATCTCACTACGAAGTTTGGTGAACAAGATGTTGCGCAATACACAAAACCTATTATTGCTTGTGAGTTCTTACAATTTTTATTTCATCGTGTAGGTCTTTTATCAAAGTGACTATATAACAGAACATCATAACATTACGCCTTTTACACCCCGAAGGGGTAGGCAGAGGTGCACACAGAAGTAACACCCACATTTCACTACTTATGTTATGAGTCCCATGTAATAGGGGGTGAGCCTATTGCCAAATACTGGGCACATTTCCAGACTCCGTGCTAATACTGAGAATATTTTAAAAATCCCAGTAATACTTTGCCCGACCCGGGAATCGAGTCCGGCAGTCGCACTTACGACCACTCGGTCAATGAGGCAGTGACATCTATATATCAAACACAAATGTATTATTGTACAGATGCTGTCGAAATAGAAGAATCTCTGTATTAAATATATAATTTTATAGGTTTGACTTTAAAAAAAATGTTTATTTAAAACCTGATTAACTTTACTGTGTCGTTTGAAAATAATGTTATGCGATTAATTAATTAATATTTTCAGCATTAGAGAAAAAACATCACGTGCAAATTAGAGATATAGACCGTAATGTATTATTTAATTATTTATAATATCTAATTAAAATGTTTTTTTTATGGGATAGTAAACAAGCAGACGGATCACCTGATGGTAAGCAATCGGCGTCGCCCATGGACACCCGAAACGCCAGAGGTGTAACAAGGTCGTTGCCATCCTTTTAGAGGTTAGGAATATGAGAATTGTTGGAGATTCGGAGATTGGAGAGATTCGGGAGTGATTTCGCCTATAAAGAGAACCAAATAGGTATGTGGCGACACATGCCACATGTCAACGGATGACGTCACAAGAATCCTACATCGCACATGCAAAGTTTACAAGCGAATAAACACGGATAGAAAATCCCAACGAACAACTGTTGGGCAGAAAGCCCGCCAGGCACGATCACCTCGCCTGGTCGGAGGATTCTCCTTTTCCGATCTTAGGGAACTATACTCTCTGTTCCCTAAAGGTACTTTAAAAAATATATCTACATGGATGAGGTACACTCTTTCATGATTGCGAGAAATCAGTTATAATTTTTTTTAGAAGTGAATTTCGTATACCATAGTACAATAAAGAAGTAAATTATTATTTCAACTTCATGCAAAAAGTGTGTACAGGTGGACTTAATGCCTTGGGCATTGTCTCCCAGAATTTCAAGCCATGCTAGAGGCTCATATTCATGAGCAGCATTTCGACCCGCGACGCGGCGGCTGTCACGCTGCATAATAATTTATTTAGTATGCCTCACGAAAGTTACAATACAAATAAAGAAGTATTTTTAAATTTCTAGGAAACCATATTAGATTAGTTCTCTACATTAAAAAGTGCGGTATCCATTTTTCCTCACTTAAAGTAAACAAAACCACGTCTTTGTCATTAGACTATTTTTTGCACTAACACTTATAACATTAAATCATTTGTAAGAAGACCTATAGTCTAAATGGGTTCGTCATATGTCCGTAGTATTTTTGTAAGGACATTTCAAACATTAAATAAATACCACGTAGTGTACTAATTACGACTATGAAGAAGATTTTAAAGACTTAATTCCTAATGGCTAAGTTTTTTTCTTTTTCTAGTGGATCAATATGGTAAGAATTATTTGTTTCCAATATAAACTAGTATGTTTTAAGGGTGGAAAATCATCTAACGTATTTCTGCCGCCTTTGGTAAGGCGAGAGGGAGTTTCAGACTCTTGTGTTGGGTACTTACTATGCCCAACTCAAACTGAGTTGGCGGGCCCTTTCGTCATGGGCATGTTGCCACCCTGTTGCTCGTTTATGTAATTTTTTTATATTGTTATTTGCTTTTATTGTGTTTCGCTGCTGTTTTTTAAAGTTTTTAATGTTTTTTAATTTTATGTTTCAATTTTGATCCTAATGACGAATAAATTATTTTTCTTTCTTCTTTCTCTTTCTTTCTTAATATGTCGAAATACTCAAACACTGCTCAATTTTAAGTCGCGCTTAAGTATTGCTCTGTCAAATTTCTTCAAAATTCTGTCAAATTTCTTGAAAATTCTTTGTAAAATGACAGAGACAGCACGATATTTAATAACTTATATAACATCACGCCTTTTATTCCTAAAGGGGTAGGCAGAGGTGCACATTATGCCACTGTACAGTGTAACACCCACTTTCCACTATTTATGTTGTGAGTCCCACAGAACATATAAAGGAGGATAGAACGGCCTTGTGGGCGGTACACGCGTGCCGCGGTTATGACCAAATACTCCAAATCTACCAAAATGTCAAAAACCGGCCATCAAACGCAATGTTGTAGTGACAGCGTACGAAACTCCGCAAATAATAATAAATTATGCCATCTTGGACTATTGTAATGTGTCGGAAAAGAAGACAGATGTGCAATGTAGCACGAGAAGGGATTTCTTTCCATCAGTGACTCCAAAAACATTAATATACTTGTGATATTTGTAATTATAACATTAATATTATGACGTTTCTAGACAAAAACGACATTATCGCAAGCAGTATACATTGCTTGCAATAGATACGTACCATTTTGCACTACATAAACGAACGCGCAATGTATAACGTTCACAACGAGAGTCCCGAGTATCAAATCAAAACGTCATTTCCTCGAATCGATATAGAGAAGTGTCAATTTGTAAACAATGTCGATAATTACTATGATACAAAGGATTATTATCAAATTATACACATTACCTCAAAATAATTTTATTTATTACGACTAATTATGAAATAGGTTTTAAGTGAGGCATTTTATTCGTATTTCAGTTTTATATAATTTTTTATGTGTTCGTTATGTTTTGTTCAGTAAGTAGACTGATTTTATGATTTAAGCGTAAAAATAAAATGACATTATATCCTGGGAGCGATTGTATTGTAACTTTATAAGTAAGAATGGCTATGTACACCTGATGACTTTTCTAGTTTTCAGAGCTTTTAGAGCTGACTTAATTTACGTGAGCTAAAATATTGTGTTGGCCTGGAGGTTGCGGCGCTGTTTCATACAACTTATACGTACTTTCTAAGTTAATATGCACACCACTCACATTCAGTAAAGGAAATTATGTAACCGAAACTATATAATAATTCCTATTTATATTAGGTAACTATTAAAGAAATACGAACGACGATTATCGGTTGTCATCATACGAATGTCATGATGATATCTAACATAGACAATAACAGAGTTTTGAGCACAGATTAGATATATCATGATTTATGGTTACGTTATGATAATTCTCAATATTTCATTATTTTATGATTTTTCATTCCTTAGGGAGAAATTACGCTATTTTTTATATATTTTGAATTAAGTAAAAATCTATTCTTTTTGACCCCATGACTTCCCGGACTCCTTTTATTTTTATAAAACTTACAGTTGAAAACAAAACAAAATCGAAATAATACCTTTTCGGTTTTTTATACTTTTTTGATTACTACCAATCAACAATTTACTTATAATTATATTCCATGTCAAATTATTTTAATGTTAATAATGTAATTGATTTTAAAAATCAGTTATGTATTTTTCTATGTATTTCTTATTTACATTAACGTAAATACATGTACACAATATGCCTTATACAAATCCGCATAGTCCGCAATACATATAAATTAAGAAGCTAGATGCCATTAATTTTATCGATATCAATAATCGACCTTTCGCTCCCCCTACCATATATGAGTTTTTTACGCCTGTATTAGTGTATGTCAAACGAAGTGAATGCGTCAGTGTGATGACCAATAACAAATCTTTTAACCTAGTGCGTGTTGTTTATTTGTGTGCGTTTTCCGCGTAGGTATTGATCTCTTGCTTGTAGTAAAGTTAAAGAGTGGGGGACAAACGGCGACGCGTGTTCTAATACAAATCAGGAACTATTTCCTTTCTAGTCTTCTTTATATGTTCTGTGGTGAGTCCCATGTAATAGAGGGTGAGCCTATTGCCATATACCGGGCACAATTCCAGACTCCGTGCTACTACTGAGAATTTTTTAAAAGCCCAGTAATTCCGACCGACTCGGGAATCGAACCTTAGACCCCTTGCCCGGCAGTCGCACTTGGGACCACTCGGCCAACGAGGCAGTCAGCCGATCACGATATTTAAGTAGAAGTCAAAATTGAGTAGTCTTTCAGTATTCGAGTGTGATTGACCAAAAATCGCGCCGTTTCTACTCTTACTTTGGACCGTAATCCCAATAACCCGTTAGGTTCTCAGCAAGGAGTCTATCACATGTCTAGCCGCAGGAAACCTAACGGGTTACCGGGTCTCCGGCTCGAAGTGCAGGAGTAGGAACGGGGTGGCTTTTAGTCAGTAAGAGTCTGACACTCCCTCCCGCCTCACCCAGGCGGGAGCAGTCATTCGATGATTATTCCCCTTTGAAAAAAATCACATATCTAATCTTCGCATATGACCCTCATAACAGGGTAATAATGGCAAACGTGGTTGTTGATACTTGTTACCCTTATAATTTTATACCCCTATCTCAGTTTTTGGAATATAATCTTTATAACTGTGGAATAAAAGATCATTTTCGCGGCCCATTTATTAAATAAAGACACATACTTTTATGTTCCACTTAAGCTATTTTTGGGATCTTTGCATAGTAAGTAGGTTATGGCTCATAAGTCGAATCCATAACTATTTCGTGAATTCTTGTATGGATGATTTGATCTTAAATTATCTTCTCTGAGGCTCTTTTACAGGCTTTTTTATATATAGGGCTAGGTATGTACCTATGAGGATTGCCTCATTGGCCGAGTGGTCGCAAGTGCGACTGCCGGGCAAGGGGTCTCAGGTTCTCTATTCCCAGGTTGGGCAAAGTGTTACTGGGTTTTTATAAATACTCAGTAGTAGCACGGAGTCTGGAATTGTGCCCGGTATATGGCAATAAGCTCACCCCCTATTTCATGGGACTCATAACATAACTAGTGGAAAGTGGGTGTTACATTCAACAGTGGCATTAAGTGCCGTAATGTGCACCTCTGCCTTCGGGGATAAAAGGCGTGATGTTATGTATGTTATTGATGTACCTATGTACCTAGATGACTTAAGGAAGTCAGTTTTTATTTGTGGCTATAATTATATTTGTCGTAATAAAATAACAAGGTCTAGACAGGACGCCTATGAATATATTTTAATTATTGTTCTTATTGAAACAGTTGTGCATGCGAATTTAAAATGAAATCAATTCATTACAGGCGAAATTTTTATTAACTACGTCCCAACGAAGTCGAGCAAAAAGAGAGAGAGATCAGGTACTAATTTATTATTAACTAGCTACTTTCGCGCGGTTTCACACGCTCTGCTCAGCATCTACGGTCGTAGCGTGATGTATTATAGCATATAACAATCTTCGATAAATGAGCTATCCAACACAAAAAGAATTATTCAAATCAGACTTGTAGTTCCGGAGATTAGCGCGTTCAAACATACAAACTCTTTCGCTTTACCCAGGGTCACAATCTGTTTTCAAGTTAATTATTTGGTTCGGCACTAAATCGTCACCAAAAGTTTCCTGACAAGTACTTACATAGAGCTGTTGTCACCTTCCATTCTTCTGTATTTTATTGCAATGGAGGCTAATGTTTTCCTTGCCCACAAGATGGCGCTAATCTAGATGTTAGACTTTTTGTCCAATAGGGTAGTGTACTAAATTTTGTTTTAATATCCGTCTGATACATTATTGTAAAACATTAGGCACGTATTTCTTTTCTTACAAAATTAAGTACTTTCGAAGATATATTGATTTTCTTTATCTAACTGACGGACTAATTACATTTTTAATTTTCATACACTGTCTACTACCCTATTGTGTAGCTGTCAAAAAACTAACATATGGTGTTAATAACGAATTCCCTATTGGATAAAGAACGAGAGAGCAATAGTAGCGTCATCTGATGGTCCAAAGTACAGTACTCTTCATTCTACTTCAATTGAAATGTAATGTATTACTGGTCTATTACTTAAAACAGTTCTCTTCTTCTCTTCTTCCAGAAGGTCGAGTGATGAGGTACAAATCGAAACATAATAGACCAAAACCTAAACTTAACTATGAAAATTCGGGATGAATTGTAAACTGTGACCACAGAACTGATATCAAAATATGTAACCAAATAAACTAAGTTTTTTTAATTATATAGTCTTTTATTTTACCTTTTTTAAATATTTATTGAAGTATATTTCTATTTACTTTACTTTTATTTATTTTTTGAGGGGGAAAATCATCCAATGACTTCTCTTACTCGTGTGAGGCGAGAGTGAGTGTCAGACGCTTACTGACTAAAAACTCCTACTTCTGCACTTCGAGCCGTGGCCCCGGCAACCCGTTAAGTGTGTTACGTCATGTGAGTAAGGTTACCAGAGGCTCAATTACCCTCCCCTTCCCTAATCTCCCCAATTCCTGGATCCCCAACGATCCTCAAACTCCTAATCTCCAAAAGTCTGGTAACGGACTTGTAACGCCTCTGGTGTTCCAGGTGTCCATGGGCGACGCCGATTGCCTACCATCAGGTGATCCGTCTGCTCGTTTACCGGCTTATGCCATAAAAAAGGTAGGTGGAGTGACGACATCCGCAAGGTGGCTGGCAGTGGTTGGTTGAGAAGAGCTGAAGACCGAGCTCAGTGGCGTGCCATTGGAGAGGCCTATGTCCAGCAGTGGACGAATACAGACTGATGATGTTGATGATGATGAATTTTACTTAGCAAGACAATTCATCATATGAGTAGTTGATGTAGTAAATTGTTTTTTATCCTTCCGTAATTAATATAACAAACTTAATCTGGGCCGTATGGCTCGATAATCAACCACGGATCGGCAAACACCAACGACTTTCAAGTTGCAGAGAGCTGGACAATTGTTCAAGGCGTCGTTCGATTGATGACAATGATGATTAATAAAAGAATAGAATATTCCTACACTTGCTTGCGAAGTTAACGGCTACGGTTTGCTACGAAGCAAACAGCGTAGCGCGCGTATATCGCGGCCCGTAGCAGTGATTGCCTACGCGCTACGCTCGTAGCAAATGCAGATGTTTCCTTTTTATGTTGGAGTGATTGTTTATAAAGTATTTTAAGGTTACTTCTGGTGGTTTTACAGTCTTGTTACAATATGTTATATTATAATTTACACATTATTTTTTTATAAATAGGTTTCCTAAACATAATCATCATCAGCCTAATAAGTGCCCACTGCTAAGCAAAGCCCCTTCTCACGCGGAGACGATTTGAGCATTAATCACTACGCTTGCTCAATGTGGGTGATATTAGAAGTTTATAAGTCCAGGTTTACTTACTATATTTCCCTTCATCGTTTGTTTCCAAAACTAAAAAATAATTTTATATATAACCGAAATTCAACAAATTTTTACCCCGATTTCTTTGATCGCTTATCTTGACAAACATCTCAATAGATACACAAATCCATTAAAACAAATTTTCCTCATCACATAATACTGAAGGAAAACACCATTTTCAACAGTCCCCCATATAAATTCAACAAGAGTTTAATCAAAAACCGTCGCGTCGCGTCGCAGCTGTAAAAGCAATTTTTGCTGCCTCGGTAGTAATGTACAATTTCATTTTGTATGTTTGTCCCGGCAATACTGAGCGAATTATCGTTGAATTAAGTTAACATTATATGTATAACATTGTTACGCCTTTCTGATCTTGAAAGACGTAGGTAGAAACATAATGTCAGGCGTTTTAATCTCCGCAAGAGAAGACAGTAGTTCACAATCTTATTGCACACTAGCTACTTGTGCGCGGTTTCACCCGCTCTACTCTGCTCCTATTGGTCGTTGCGAGATGTTTCAGTAGTTTAGGAGATTAGCGCGTTCAAACAAACAAACAAAAAACAAACTCTTCAGTTTTATAATATTAGTATAGATTTAAAATATATTTTTTACAGTTACATTATGAGCCCTATGTAATTGAAAATAATAACACTATTGCCACAAACTTATTTGGCACAATTCTAAACTTCGTATAAGGTATTTCTAAAAAATCAAAATGAACATATTTATTTGTAAACATAGGTATATATAATGGGATTACATTTCTTTGTTTACTGTTGTCCATCTATGTTTTGTGATATATCACATACAAGAACATTTCTAAAATATCTAATCTAATCAGAGAAAATTTCGAAAATATCTAACGACACTAGTTGATCCTCCTTTGGTTCAACCAAAGAATCATAGTAATCATAATTATAACCAATCAACGAATGAAGCAGTGGTACTTACTTCATACGTTAAAGAAATTTCTCGATATTCCCCGAATATGATACATACCAATTAAAAATTGAAATCCAAAACAACTATTAAAACACGGAAAGGTTCCACCGAAGTGAATTGAAACGGACAAAAAAACAAGTTCGAATTGGAACGAGGTATTTATCGATTTCCGATACTGCAAATATTGAGCTAATCTGAATTTCATTCTCAAAATGAATACGATAGGTATTGATTGCTATTCGGGCATCGATATTATGCTGTATTCCGTCACATTTATTTTTGGAATATAACATCACGCCTTTTATCCCCGAAGGGGTAGGCAGAGGTGCAAATTATGCCACTGTACAATGTAACACGCACTTTTCACTATTTATGTTATGAATCCCATGTAATAGGGGGTGAGCCTATTGATGGCAATATGGATACCGGACCATATTTTTGGAATATAAGCAGACACATCTCTTGATGGTAAATTGCAGAATTAGGTAAGTACGATTTTGCTGTGAATTTTGATAACAAGTGGGTCTGATTTATGATCATTTTCGTACTTAGAAATCGATCCCTTAGTAGGTAGATGCGCTAGCAACCAATTGGACCAAGAGCTAGTGACTTTTTACAATATATGATAAACATTATCCGTAGAAACACTATCTGAACATATATATTTTTACTCTAGAACCCGGTAATATTTACTTTGCTCAACTTACGAACCAAACAAAACAGAGACTAATACATTCAAAATCCAAGTCAAAGGCATGGCTATAGGGTTGATATTCCAAAATCAAGATCCGTAACCGCATTATCCAATGACACGCCTGGTAATCTGCCGTATAATATTGAGATGGTACTTTCATTTAACGTCGTCACAAATCGTCGAATGCATCTACTTGAATCTTTATAGCAGTTTGTATTGTTTTGTCTATTTATTTGTTGTTCTCTGGTATCTAGCATACTTTCCATATCTGCCATATCTAGCATACTTTCCACTTTTACCACTGACCACAATTCATTTCATATTTTGAGTAACTAGTAATTAATAATAGCCTTAAGGTGTTGAGGTCAGTCTCAAAATGAGAAAATGGATATTCGAGTTTAAAGTCCTATTCAAATACCCGTGCCAAGGTCTTTAAAATGCAATTAGAATTTGAGCTTACATACATAGTCATTTTTTGACCCTGAAACATTTTGTTTCCTTAACATAAATACAGAATGCAATAAACTGACCCAGAATCAATTTTAATTTTACTTTTATGTGTTAGACGCGATCTTGAGGGACGTTTGATGATCGAAATAAAGTTTCGTACTTAAATTGGGTAATATTTTACTCATAAAAAAGGGAAACCTATATTAAATTGAACTGGGTTTCAAATGTTCGAGACATTCGGTACGATTGTAAATTTGTCGCTTATATATCGTGCATATTAAAAATAGATTATTGAACTGAGAGGTATTGCAAACGTATGTGAAAATTATTTTAGCTAAAAAATGAATTAAGTAGGTGCCCATTTTAACTGTTCAATAGGTACATGGGTACACGTCATTATATTAATACACTTTACGTCATATGCTTTTATAAAAATGACGTGTTAGTTCGGAGGTCTGAGACGTCGTCGGTTCGAAACCTACCAACAAGCAAGTACTAATTTGACTTTTCCGAGTTATATGGACTTTCTAAGATTATTTAGACATCGCTGGCAAACGGTGAAGGAAAACATCTAGAGTAAACCTGGACTTAACATAACATAACGTCACGCCTTTTATCCCCGAAGGGGTAGGCAGAGGTGCACATTACGGCACTTAATGCCACTGTACAATGTAACATTCACTTTTCACTATTTATGTTATGAGTCCCAAGTAATAGGGGGTGAGCTTATTGCGAGATAAATTGGTCAGCAGTGGCTACTTTATAGGCTGTTTGATGATGTGATGTGTGCTTTTAAAAATCCTCAAACCCTGTCTTACTGAAACGATACAAACGAAACGATTTATTTCAGAAGTCGGTTTAAAAAAAGATTACCACAATACTCCTAGATATTATTTAATCAACATCAGAAAAAACCGTTTTTAACACCACAGTTATCTTTCATTTCTGTTCAGATAATGGACTTGTTCACACTCGAACTATTCTGTCGAAATCTGTCTAAGGAATATGATTACAAATCACAATCTGTGATGACGGACATAAGTTTGGGAACGTTTTAAAAGAAAGAATAAATGTGAATGAATGATTGAACGGAGATGAAATATTGCAGATGAATGTGTAGTGATGGAAAATATAAATTGACGGATAGAAGTAGGTATTTGGAAAAGTTTACTTTTAAGGGAGATTTGTAATTGATGAGTAAAAACGATAGCATAGGTTTTCTCCTTTCTTTTAACATTTCTCCAGTCAATATAATGAGAAAAGCCTTTTTTTAAAGGGAGAAAATCATCGAATGAGTTCTCCCGCCCAGGTGAGGCGGGAGGGAATGTCAGATTCTTACTGACTAAAAACCAGCCGGTTCCTACTCCTGCACTTCGAGGCGGAGCTCCAATAATCCGTTAAGTTAAGTGCAATAGAACTGCAATAAAAACGCTCGTTTGGTTTTCAACCATTTGGTCATGACTGCAATAGAAATGCAATCGGACGGGAGAAGTCATTCGATGATTAATCCCGCCTGGATGCCTTCCCCCTTAAAAAAAATTGTAGTCGGGTCAATTGCGTTCAAACTGCATCCGAACTCCAATTAGCGATTAGGTTGAAGTTGATATGCGGTCCGTCAGTCTGAAGCCTAATATTGATAGAATGACAATATGTCCAAGTACGTAATACACTGACGTATAAGGTACAACAC